TCATTTCTTCTGAATTTTTCTTTTTATTAGAATTCAGGTTCTCAAAGTGGTTACCAATGATTTTCTGGATTTCAGCAGGATCCATTGTAATTTCACCTTTTTCACTTTTAATTACATGGGCTTGGGCCTTTTCTTGCATTATTTTAGTAAGATTGACTAAGGGATTGTCTGTTGTGTTTATTCTTTCAAAGAAACAGCCATTCAATTCATTGATTCCTTGTTTTTGTTGTCTAAATTTCATTAATTCCTGCTCTTATCTTTATAATTTCCTTCCTCATGCTAACTTTGGATTTAAATTATTCTTGTTTTTCTGTGACCTTGAAATACATCATTGTATTATTTATTTGAGTTTCCTCTATTTTTCCTGATGTGGGCATTCACTGCTATAAACTTCCCTCTTAGGACTACTTTCATGGTGTGCCATCAGTTCCAGTATGTTTTACAGGCATTACTAGTTGATTCTAGGAAGTAATTTTTTCTGAGACCCATCGATTATTCAAGAGGCTTGAATTTAGTTTCCATATGATTGCATAGTTTCTAGGGCGTTTTTTTCCCTTGATTCTAGTTTCATTGCACTATGATCTGATAATATGTATGGGATAATTTCAATTCTTTTATATTTACTTAAGCATGCTTTATAGGCTAGTAAGTGGTCTATTTTGGAGAAAGTCCCATGTGCTGCTGAGAAGGATATGTGCTCTGTTGTTGGATGGAATACTTTGTAGATATCTATTAAGTCCATTTTTTCCAAGGTTTGCTTCAACTCTGATATTTCTGTGTTGATTCTTTATCTATTTGATACGTCTATTTGTGACAGTGGGGTATTGAGGACCCCATTACAATTGTATTGCTGTTTGTCTGATTTTACATGTCCACTAGTGTTTGTTTTATGAAGTTGAACATGCCAGTGTTTAGTACATAAATGTATATAATCCTGTTTTGGGGGGGTTTTGGGGGGGTTTGGGGGGGGTGGTACTGGAGATTGAACTCAGGTCCTTGCGCTTGCGCAGCAGGCGACAAAACCACTGAGCTAAATCCCCAGCCATAAATGTATATAATTGTTATCTCTTCCTGTTCAATTTTTCCTTTAATGTTTAGTGAACTTCTTCGTTTCTCCTGATCAGTTTTGGCTTGAAGCCCACTTCTTCTGAACTTAGAATAGCTACTACAGATTTTTTCTGGCTTCTCATTGCATGGAATATTATTTTCCATCCTTTGATTTTTAACCTGTGAGTTTCTTTTTGAATTAAATGTGTTTCTTTATATATTGCATATCATTGAGTTTTGTTTTTTTATCCATTCTGTCGATTTGTATCTTTTGATTAGGGAATTGAGTCCATTCATATTGAGCTTTATTACTGAGAGATATTTACTTATTACTGTCATTGCATTGTTTTCTGTTGCTGATTTTTAAATTTTTTTCCTTTTGTTTAGCTGCTTATCCTGCCAAGTGTATTTATTCTTTTTGGTTAATTGGCCTTGTTGGCTGCATTGTCTCTTTCTTTGTTTTTTTGTTTTTTGTTTTTTGTTTTGGTACCAGGGATCGAACTCGGGTCCTTGCAGTTGCGAGGCAGGCCGTAGAACCACTGCATTGTCTCTTTCTAGGATATCCTTGAGAATTTTTTGTAATGCTGGTTTGGTGGTCATGAAATTATTAAGGTGCTCTATGTCATGGAAATACCTTATTTCTCCATCAATTTGAAAGGAGCATTTGCAGGATACATACGTTAGGATTAGAAATTGTTGCCTTTTCAGGCTTGAAAAACTTCACCCCAAACCCTCCTGGCTTTTAAGTTTTGTGTTGAGAAGTCTACTGTAATTCTAATAATTTACCTTTGTATGTGATTTATTGCTTTTCTCTAACAGCTTTTGAGATTCTGTCCCTGTAATAGACTTCTGGTACTTTGAGAATTATGTGGCATGGAGAGGTTCTCTTTTGGTCATGGCTATATGGGGTTCTATATGCCTCACTTATCTGAACAGGGGAATGTTTCTTTCCCTATATTTGGGAAATTTTCTACTATTATTTCTGTGAAAAAGTTTTATTATATTTGTGCTTTCTGATTTTTCACTTTTTCCAGTTGCTCCTAGATTATTCTTCATTGCTTCATCTAGCAGCTGTTGGATCCATTTTTCATGTTCTCTTATTGCTTTTAAGGTGTTTTTTGAGTAGTTTGTCTTTGAAGACATTATTGTTCTTCTAGTTCTGAAATTCTGTTCTCACATTGGTCCCTTCTGCTGCCCATACTTTTCAATAAAATTTTTAATCTCCTGAAATTCTGAATGAAGCCTTTTCATGGACTCTATTTCTTTTTTTTTTCATTAATTTTATTGGTACATTATAGGTATACAATAGGCTGACATTCATTATTGGGAATTTGTACCTTTACATAATATATCTTGGTTCTTATTTTTTCCCCATCCGCCTGCCCTCCCTTCAACCCCTCCACCCCTCCCTATTTACAAAGACTTTGTTTCCATATTTTCCTTTTCTCATATTTATTCCCTTCCCTTCTTTCCTTTCCCCTACCCCTCCCACTTCTCCTTCCCTTTTAGACCTTTTCTGTGGACTTTATTTCTTTGCTAAACTGGTCATTCATATTTTGTATCATTTTGTTTAGCTGGGTCAGCTTTGTATTAGTGTCTTCTGAAAGCTCCTGGATCATTTTGATTATTATTTTCCATAACCTGTTTAATTATACCTGCTGTGCTCCTCCTGAGTACCTCTTTTCTGTTTTCTAACCTCCTGTGTTATCCTTTCAAGTAATTTGGGTGTGTGGTTTATGCTGTTCTCCCCCTTGTTGCTTGACCCCAGATTGATGTTGGGGGAGTTGGGAGTTTTGGGAGGCATTTTGTTGCCTTATAGTCTCATGCTTCTATTGTTTTTATTAGTTGTTTGTTTTGTTTTGTGCTGAGATTTGTGGATCCTAATAGTGTAAAGACTGCTCCTAGTATAGAAATTTCTTTAGTCACTTTTCAGTGATATACTTTGGGCATGATTAACTATAGTACTTTGCCTCTGTCTCTAAATCCGAACACCTCAGTTCATTTGGGGGTAGGGATGCAGTGAAAGTGGCCCAACACCAAATTCTCTGGAAATGTACTCTAGTATTGTAATGTCACAAATGTAATCTGGGTGTTGGCTTGCAGAGAAAACCTATTAATAGCAACAGTTATATGACCCTAGTAATATCAAGCAAATAGCTACTGTAATATCATCCAAGGCAAATTGGATGTTAACATATCATAATAACTAATTATGTACCTTAACCCTAGAGAAGAAATCCACAATTATGGTGTAAACATCAAGAGAGCCCAGGTATTGACCTATAGCTTATATGTACTGTATGTGACAGCTATATCTCTGCTAATAGTAGACAAGAATTCAACAGTAATTTTGTAGAGTCAACTATCTAAAGACCAATAAAGCTTTACAGTTATACTATTAAAGATAATAACGGGTTCAGAACAGGAAAATGCAAGAAGAAAAATTTGAAACCTTAAACTATATAAGAATGAGGAGAGAGAAGGGGAAAATGATCCTATTAGGGAGTAGAAGGATATTTATAAAATTAGGTAAAAGTAACAGAAGAAATTGATGAGGAATAGAAATAAAAGAGAAAAAAATTATGTGGAGAATAAGAAAAATATTAAAGGGAGAAAAATTAAAAGGGAGGAGAGGAAAAAATAGAAAAAAAGAAGGAAAAGAGAAGAAAAATTAAGCAAAAGAAATACACCAAAATACACCAAACTTTAATAAATTAGTGTAGAAAAAAGGAAAGGAAAAAAAAAACACTCCAGAAAAGAAACAAAAGAAAAAAAAGAGAGAGATTTCCCTGTGATTTTAAAGGCATAGTTTTTCTTCCAGGATCCATAATTTTGAGGCAGCATCCAAGTTAAGATATGCCCTTGCTCATGCTGGTAGATAAAGAAGGCAGTCAAATCCCAGGTCCATACTGAATATAGACATCAGCAGGTAGTAGTGTGAGGGCACCAGTGCCCTCACACTTTTAAATCCAGAGCAACTCAGGCTGGGTCTGGCCTCTGGCATGGGGACAGAGCCTGTGTCCTTTAGCTCAAACCTTTCAGGGAGTCTCTTTCCAGCCTATTCTCTGACTGTGGCTGTCTCCTGTGGCTGTATCTTACCCAGTCACTGTGGGAATGTGATACTCGGAGCCCTAGAGTGGAGCTCTACACCTACTCTGGGTTCTGGGTTCAAACAATTAACTCTTCCCCAGGATGGCATCTGGCCAAGCACTTTCTCCAGGGATGTGGCAGGTGAGAGTCACTCACCAGCTGTTGCCTGTAGAATGATTCTTTATAGAGTCCCACACTGTCCCTGCAGATCACAGCAACCACCAGTCTGGTCCATGCTGCTGTTGCATTTCTCCCCAAGGCCTCCTGGGGTCCCAGCATTCACTGTAGGGTCAGTCTCCACAAGCTGGGAAGTGGAAAGAAAGTGCTGACAGCCTTTTCCCTTCTCCACATTGTTTTCTGTTTCTGCAGTTTCTCTGTACCTTTTAATTTTCCTATCAGATCCCTCCTGGTTCCTGGAGATCTACATCTTTTTTTCTTCTCCAAGTTGTTTTCCTGTGTCTAGATTCCGAATCTTGGAGAGTCTCTGATTTATTTTTAAAATAAGTGCTAGTTAATCAAAAGGTATGGTTTCCAGGCCCCAGGATTTAGCTCAGTGGTTTCGGCGCCTGCCTCACAAGTGCAAGGTCCTAAGTTCAATCCCCGGTACCAAAAAAGGTATGGTTTCTTTTAAATTAAAAACAGCTAACACAGAACTAGGGAAAGTATACTGATCTTATTAAAATTAGGCTTGTGTAGGTACAATATATTTACTTTCTACCAAAAGAAATGCTTCTGATACAGTAGAAGGATGCTGTTACTTTGAAAATGACTGTCTTCGGTTGGTTGGTTCTTATGTTTTTAGAATGCTATCCTAACTTTAGGTATTACCCTTTATAATTTATTCCCTTTTTCTTATGTTCCAGGGGAAAACTTATCCATTTCGGGGAGCATTTCCCCCTGTATGGAATCCTCTTGCATATTTGGATTACAACAATCTGTGGCGGACAATGGATGACATGGGAAAAGAGGTAAAATGTGTGTTCTGCTTGCACATAACCTATTATGAAAATAACAGTGGCAAATATTTATTATAGTTCTATGTGTGCAGGGAATCTTGCTCTGAACATTGATATACACCATTTCCAGTGCACTCAACCATTCTGCGGACCTAGTAGAATTTCCACTGACAAATGGAGAAAATGACTACCAAGTAGTTATATAACGTACCCAAGTCCACAGGAGAGAACCAAAGTTCAGACCTATCCTTGCTGATGATAATACCTATGTACTTTCAGTTGTATGCCATTGAGCATTTCTATGATACATTTTTGTCAAACACAGTAGTACCTCAGTTCACGAACTTAATTCTCTCCACGATTCTGGTCGCAAACCGAATTAGATGAAAACTGAATCAAATTTACCCTTAAGGTCAACATTGAACCTAACCATTGAATTTGATTCATTTCTCATCCAATTTGGTTTGCAACCAGAATCATAGAAAGAATTAAGTTTTTGAAGCACTGTATGTTTATTTACAATTATCTTGTCCATCTGTAATGGCACTTTAGGTAGTAAAAGAGCATTTGCTGCTCCAAAGTTTTTTACTTAGCCTTGAACAGTGGTACCTTGGTTCATGCATGCTTTTGTTTGCAAACAGTTTGGTTTGCAAACAGGAACATTTGGCCAATTTTGTTTTTGTTTGCAAACTACATCAGGTAACAAACATGACCATGACCATCTTCCTCGCACAAACACAAATGTGGCCATCTTTTCCAAAGTTGTAGAACAAATTAAGTTTATGAATCAAGGTACTCCTGTACTCTGAAATATCACTCTCTTAAATTTGAATCTGGCACCTTAAATGAATATTAGCTTTCACTAATAATAATGATGATGATATTGATAATAATTATCATCATCCTACTCGTAATTACATATAAATGTATACATGTTTTTATATGTAATTATGACTGTTATTATTCCTTTGTCAATAGTGTTAAGTCTGGAATCCAAAGAGCTGCCCCACCTCTACATAGAATTCTAAGCCAAACACACATTCTAACAGGGACTAAGAAATTAGTTTTCAGAGGTTCTCATAAAGGCCTCTCTGGTGAGTGGTGGTAGAAATTGTCATTGCAACTGAGTGTGGGACCTCCTTCCCTTGCAGATTCCAGCTGATGCACCCTGGGAGGCCCCACATGCCCAGGAGTGGGACAAGATGACCATGAAAGATCTCATCGATAAAATCTGCTGGACAAAGTATGCTTGGTTATTCAAAATTTACTTCTGTGTCTGTATTTCACTGGTATTAGGACCAGAGCCCTTGCACTGAGCTACCTCTTCAGCCTTTTTTTAAAGACAGGATCTAGCTGAGTTGCCCAGGCTGGGATTGAACATGTGATCCTCCTGCCTCAATCTCCCAGAGTGTTGAGATTACTTCCTTGTGCCAGCATGCTCAAATTAAAATTTACTTTTTATCTTTCCTTTTGATCCTTTCTATCGTGTCTGGAGATATAGTGCTTTTTTTAATAACCTATAGGAATAATGTTAAGAGGAATTCTAATAATCTTTCTATCAGTATCAACTTTGAGGGCATATTAGATACTTCAGAGCAGCCTTGAAAAGAAAATGAATCAAAAACCTAAGTACGTACGTAAAGTTAAACTTCTTTTAATGAAAGGGTCATATGATCTGTAATAAAAGCAGTAATTAGGTTTTTATGTTATATAAAGACTGCCTACAAAAGTAGTTTGCAAAGACATTTAAAAAGTAATTTCAGGGGCCAGGGATTTAGCTCAGTGTTTCCAGCGCCTACCTCGCAAGCGCAAGGTCCTGAGTTCGATCCCCGGTACCAAAAAAAAAAAAGTGACAAAAAGTAATTTCATACAGATATAGAATACTAGGAAATAGGAGAGAAGCTAGTCTATATTCCTGAAAAATATAAACTATATAATGGTTTCAACTAGAATCTGTTATTAGTTTAGTAATTTCTAATTCATTAGTATAATCATGACTTAATGATTTCACAAGGATTCCTTCTGAGAAATGCATTGTTAAATGATTTCATAGTTATATGAACATCCTAGAGTATACTTAGGCTAAGATAGCTATAACATCACTAGGCCATATAATCTTATGGGACCACCATCTTTTATGTGGTAGATCATGGACCAAAGTGTCATTATGCACAGGACTGTATATATTTTGCATGTATTTTATTTACTAATACATATATTTATGTATCTATTAGTGTGTATTTATTTTAACCTACTATGTGAAGGTACTGTACCAGGAACTGACTGAGGAATGGTAGTCAACTTGCTAGGATAAGTTTCTACCCTCATGGAGTTTATATTCATCTAACAAACAAGGCTAACATTGTATGAATAATTACATAATGCTGAGAGTGTCTGCAACAAGGGGAACCTTACCCAATCTGAGGGTAAAAGAATTCTTTGACAGTCTTTAACTGAAACTAAGGAGTCAGTGCATCAACTAAGAATGAGCACAGGGGCAGGGAGAGATGGAAAGATGGACAGTTTGGGAGGATGATTTTTTCCAAGAATGACCCAAAGGGCAAGAGAGATAGCAGGGTAGTTTGGTATTAGGTAAAATGGTATCTTCTAGGAATGACCTAAAGAGGATAAAAAGAAGCAGGGACAGGTGAATATCAGGGGGAGGAGTATTTTTTGTGAATGAGCCAATAAGGTGGGGGGTGATGATGTGGGAGAATAATATTACCCATTAATGAGCTACAGATGCTGAGAGAAGACGGGGAAGGGTGGCTGATATGTGTGTGTATGTGGGGTATGGTATGATATCTTCCAGGAATGACCCATAAAGTCATAAAGTGCCATAAAGCCATAAAGTGAAAGAAAGGAATTGTAAATGATGTAGAGTGAATGGTATCTTCCTGGAATGACCCACAAGGGCAAAGAGGAGAGGATTGGTAGATGGCGTGTCAGGAAGCTATTTTCCAGGAATGACTCATAGCAGGTTGGTGAAGAGAGAGAAAGGTAAATGAGGTGGGGATGTATATTCCAAGAATGACCCAAAGTGGCTGAGGGGAGACAGGAAGAGTTAGATGATATAGGGGGATGATATCTTCTAGGAATGACCTACAGAGAAGATGGAAGCAGGATGGAGGGTTTGTGTTGGAGGGAGGCTGTCTTTCAGGAATTATCCACTGAGTAGGGTCTGGAAAGCAGGAAGGGTGGATATTGATCATGGGCTTGTATTTTCCAAAAATGATCTAAGTTCTATCCAGAAAGAGTAAATGGAATGGCAGGGTGGTATCCCCAGGAGTGACCCACATAGGCAGAGGAGAGATGAAGGGTGGAAGATGTATGATAATATCTCCCAGGCATGTGTCTAGTCTGGAGAGAAAACAAAGAAGCTTGGATGTTGGAGGGAGGGGTAATATATTCCAGGAATGACTCACAGGTTCAGGAGGAGACAGAAAGGGTAGATGGTGTTGGGACAACCTTATCTGCCAGGAATGATCCACTGACTTGAGAACAAGACACAGGGAAGTTGTAGGGGTCGGGGGAGAGATCTTTCAGGAATGAGCCCACAGGGAGTACAGGGAAGACAGAGGGAATGGATAGTAGGGGAAAGGGGATAGGTAGGATCTTTTGAGATGGATGGATAGGAACTTCAGGAACTCAGGTAAGGGTTGATATGAACAAGATGGTATCTTCCAGGGATGAATAACAGTATCAGGAAGAGATAGTATAGGTATATTGTTCTGGGGATATTACATCTTCCATGAATGACCCAAAGGTATTGGGAAGAAAAAAAGATACTGGAGAGGGGGGAGATTGGGGGAAGTATCTTCCAGGAATAAGTCATAGAGACTGAGAAGAGGTACAGAAGGGGAAATGGGAGGTGGTATCTTCCCAGAAAGACCCACAGTGTCAGAGACAGACAAGATGAATTGAGTAGAGAGTGGTATCTTTCAAGAGTGACCCAATGATACAGGAAAGGTGGATTTTGTGGCAGGTTAGTATTTTCCAGAAATGACACAGAAAGGCTAGAAGGACAGAAGAAAAGTGTATGAATTAAGAGTGGGATGGTATCTTCCAGGAATAACGCACAGGAACAGTGGAGTAATGGGAAGGTGGATGGTGGGGAATGATGATACTGTATTCCAGGAATAGACAGCAGTGGCTAGGGGGAGATGTGGGGTATGCAGATGATATGTTCCAGGAATGACTCAAGAAGCATGAGGAAACAGGATAAATAGATTGTGATGAGAGGGGTAGTATCTTTTAGGAATGATCCACTGGACAGTATAGGGGGGAAAAAGGGGGTAGATGTTGTGAGTAGGATGGTATCTTCCAGGAATGGCCCATAGGGGTAGAGAGCACAAGAAGAATGAATGTTGTTATTGGCAGAATGTCTTCCTAGAATGATCGGGGTATGGAAGGTTTGAGAGGTTGATGGTATCTTCCAAGAATAAGCCAGGGTCATGAGGGAGATGGGAGGGAGGATGGCCTGAGAAAGTGTTATTTTGCAAAAAAGGGGTCCATGGGTCAAACAGGAAAAGTGGATGATTTGGCAAGGTAGTTTTGAGTAATAACTCAGAGTTGCAAGGGGGGACAGGAAAAGTTGGATGATGTAGGTAAGTGATTATGAGCCTTTCAGAGCTTTCAGTGATAGAAACAGCCTACTGTGGTACATATGCCATAGGTTTGCTGCCACTGCTGTTGGGGGTAATATTTCCCAGGAATTGCCCCATATGGGGTATAGGAGAGATAGGGAGGGTAGATATGTATTCCAGGAGTGACCCATAGTTGTAGAGCACTCAAGCACTTAGCCAGGCATGGTGGCACACACCTGTAATCCCAGCACCTAGGAGGCTGAGGCAGGAAGATCACTACAAGTTTGAGGCCAGCCTGGGCTACATAGTGAGTTCGAGACCAGCCTGAACTACATGGTGATACTCTGTCTCAAAAAACCAAACAAACAAACGAATAAACAGAATGTATATTCTAGGGCTGACCCAAGGGGCAGAGGAGACTTAGAGGGTGGATCATGGAGGATGTGGTATCTTCTAAGAATGTACCATAGGGGCTGGGAGCAGGAGCAAGTGAGGATATGTTCTATGGTATCTTCTGGGAATAATTCATTGAATCATGGTAGAAGACAGGAAAGGGGTACGGTGTGAGATGGGTGGCATCCTCCAGGAATGACATACAGGTGGAAGGGGAGACATGAGACATGGTAGGTGGGTTTTTTTGGGGAGAGTGATATCTTCCAAGAATGATCTATGGGGGCTGGGGGAGATAAGCCAAGTAGAACAATTTCAGGGCAAGGTATTTTCCAGGAATTGAACCATGGGGGCACAAAAAGCTCAGTAAGAGTGAATGCTGGAGCAGGATGGTATATTCCAAAAATGATTCCTCTTAAATCATCCAACTTTCCTTAACTCACCCCAATCCCTTGAGGTCATTCCTAGATTATACTATCCATACCAAATCTAAATTTCCATCTCTCCCCTTCAGTCCTCAGCCGAATGTCTGATGGATAGTATCCTGACAACCCAATACCCACACTGCTCTCCCTGCCATGGAATATATCATCCTGCCATACAATGCACTGTCTTCTCCCTGACCCTGGCTCTTTCTTGAAAGACATCACATTTTCCCATGCCAACCACCTTCTGTTCCCTTCCATGATCATGGCCTCTTGACTGCTGCCTGTTTTATTGACCCTCCCCCCTCTGTGAAATAGTTCCAACATCAGCCACCCATCCTGTTTCTCCCTGCCTCTGTTGCACATTCCCGGATTATGCCGTCTTTCCCCAGCAATGACCTTTCCTGAATTTCCTATGCCCTTGTGGGTCAATTAACAGGAAATGTAATCCCATGATGTAAGAGGATGGATGGTATCATCTACAAATGACCCATGGTAGGGGAGGAAAATTACACGATGTCAAGTTTATGGTATTTGTCACACAAACAATGGGGACAAGGTAGAAATAAGGAATGTGAATGCTAAATGAAAGGAACTTACTCTCAATGAGTTCTAGTATCTGGGCTGAGAGAGGAAGGATAGGTGGTGTGAGAAAATGGTATCTTTTAGGAAAGAACCAGGGAGGGGTGGTGTACAAAAGATTGTACCCTGTGGCAGAATAGTATCTTCCAGGAATGACCCACAAGATTGGGGGAAACAGGAAAAGTAGGGATGGTATCTTCTAGGAATCATCTACAGCCACAGAAGGTAGGATGGGAAGGAGGTGTCTTCCAGGAGTGACCCACAGGGTGGAAGGGGAGAGACAGAGATCAGTGAAAGACATGAGTGAATGTTATCATCCAGGCAGAGAGAACAAGGAACAGCTTTTTTGAAGGCTCTGCAATGGGAGGGAGATTGGCAGGTTTAAGCCACTGAATGGTCAGTATATGCCTGGACCACAGAGGTGACAAAGGCAGGTAGGATAAGGCAAGGTTCAAGTACCGGTGAAGCAATCTGTGACATAGTATGTACTGGCTACAACTCAAGATTTGAGTTTTCTCCGTTTTAGGCTATTGAAATATTTTAAGTGGAAGGGTTGGATTTTTTTGTTTTTTTGGTTTTTTTTTTTTTTGAGTTTTGCACCTTTAAAAAACCTCATTGTGTAAAGTATGGAAAAGGTACAAGAGGGATGCAGAATGACTAGGTAGTAGCTACCACTTTTGTGGTCCAGGTGAGGAACAGTAGAAGAAACAGAAAATAGATATGTTTGTTAAAATAGTTGAGAAGTATCCCTGTCGAGCATATTGACCCTTTAGTCAGAACCATGATTAGGCATATTTGGAGGTAACTAGGAAGTTTTTAATAGCAAGGGAAAACTTTATTTTCCTCAAGAGTTAAAAATACATTCCTTTGGAAATATAGCCCATGAGGGTATTTTTCCCCAAAGCCATAGAAATATGTTGTAACCATACTACATTGTTCTGAAAACAAGCATTTCTCTGACTCCTGTATGGATTGTCCCCTCCTGTGCTGTGAACAGGACTGCTAAGCAGTTTGCTACTCTGTTTGTGAATATCAATGTGACCTCTGAGCCCCATGAGGTCTCTGCTCTGTGGTTCCTGTGGTATGTGAAGCAGTGCGGTGGCACCACTCGGATATTCTCAATCACCAATGGAGGCCAGGTACGACATGTCTGTTTTGAAACTGCAACTTTATTTGTGATTTTGCCCTCACCTAGAGCATAGTCTTAATAATCACTTCGGCATTCTCAGCCATGAATAATTATCAGTATAAAATGAACTAAAAAAACATGTCTGAAAAATTTTCTCATTTCCTGTTTTTTTTATTTCTGAAAAGAAGTTCACAGCTAAAGAATGTTTTATTTTGAATTAACTAGATCCTGGGAATTAAGTTCCTTTCTTTAAGTGGTAGAAAAAATTGGCCTGTTTATATAGGAAAAGCTAAATTATTAAAATAAGTGAATTTGAAAAAATTCTAGTACTTGTACAGTTATGTTTAAAGTCATCTCTGTTCTAGACATAGGGTTTTTGTCCCATCTGTTTCTTTAATGTTATTCCATATGTTAACTGTTATAGAATGAAAATGACTGTTCTTCTGATCCACTTAAGTGATTTATGGTCACTCCATAGTAAATTCTACAGTTTGAACTCTGAATTTTTGTTGCTCACATGCATTTTCCTGGCTTCCATACCACTTTTATTACTGAGTGAACTCATTTGTTTCACTGGCTGGCTACTGGCAAACTGATGGGAAAGCCAGAATCTTAGTTCCCTGATTCCTCAGGCTCTGAGATTCTTTATTTCAAAGCCCTTCCAGATCAAGAGACAATGAGTGTGTTTTCTAGGAATGTTGTGTCTGGGTGGGATGAGGTTTAATTAATACCAGTTTACTTCTGACTTATGCTTTGTTCTCTGAGTCCTAGAATGCTGGGTGCATTGTACAAGGTGTAGAGTGTTCCTCCATTGCCTCTCTGTAGATCACCAGAAGTCCCTAAGTTGTTTTTGTCACACTAATAGCTATTGCTCATTGGACCCTTAGTTTGGACAAATGTGAGACAGTTGTATTTTTTGTGTCTTCACTTACAGAAGTCTCACATTACTCCTTTATAAACCCATGTTTTACTTTCTGAGGCATCTTGACTCATGCCTGTTACTTGGGTGCTGCACTCAGAGGAGGCAGTATACTTCTGGATAATCTCTACATGACCTTTTGGAAAATACAATTCTGATATCAATCTCAAGCTATTATAATATCTTTATAAAGAACTTAAGTTTACCTTTTAATAGTTTACTTCAACAACTATTAAACATAGAAAAGTAGATAGTGAACAAGATGGAAATAGTTCATGGTTTTTATACTAAAATTCAAAGCAACTCTTGGAAAATAGGTCAGATTATAAATTAAATGGCACCAATTTCTTGAGGAGAGATAAATCATGAAATTTTGTCTGAACCACTACAGGAATATTTTTATAAAGAATTTTGGTAATGTCATTAAAACAGTAGCCAGTTATAAAAGTACAAAAATTACATGGCTATTCATGATTGAGATACCTAATAGTCAGTGTTGGACTATGACTCATTCTATCAAAGTGTATTTCTAACCATTCAAGGAGTTTTCTACAACAGGCTAAAAATATTCTCTTAGTTATTAGCAAATGCATTATGTTAAGGACTTACCTTCTTAGGTTAATCTGGATGCATTTCCACAGTGAGGACAGCAGATCTCTGTGGGCAGAGTGCTCCTGGTCTTATAGGGCTTCTCAAGAGAACTACTGAATAATGTCTGAAGGAATAAGCATGCACTTAGCCTTCACCTAAAACTTTCAGTTTTATAAAAACTTGCTCAAGATCTGAGATTTGGATACCAAGAGAGCACCCCCAGCCTATTCTCTTGGAGTCGTGTCTATAACATGGCACCTCTTACATCCTTACCTACCCAGATAACCCCAGCCTACCTAGGACTACAAGAAGCCAAGGGAAATTGAAAACTATATCCCCAGGGACAAGTACAGCTACCTGCATCCCAACACTCCTTTTATGTACCATACTTTTGTGTATTTGAAGCCCACAGACTTTGTTTCCATGTGGTCAGGACAGCACTGGCAGAGGAGAACATTTTTTCTGGTCTGTAATTTTATGAACAAGTATAATAATGACTTTTCTTTTGCTGGGGGCTGTGCAAGGATAATTGAGGTGCTTTGACAGACTCTCCCTCTTTTGTAATCAGTTCTTCTAATAGTTAAGTGTGTAGAAGGTAGAAGCCTGGCTGTGACTTTCTGGAGATTTCCTAATCAATTGCAAATAGGACTTTCTGACCTTAGGCTTTTATAATATTTCCTTTCCTCCCTACTTCTTCTTGTAGGAACGGAAGTTTAAGGGTGGATCCGGTCAAGTATGTGAAAAGATAATGGGCCTCCTAGGTGATGGAGTGAAGCTGAGCCGTCCTGTCACCTATGTTGACCAATCAGGTGACAACGTCATTATAGAGACACTGAATCACGAACTCTATGAGGTAATTCATTTTAGTCAAAAGGAGCTGACAATAAATAGGCAGTGTGTCTTCTGCAACTTCTAACCTAATACCCAAGCAGTGGTATAATTAATGTGAACATGTTTCTTCTTCAGTCTCCCAAATTACTAGCCTCAGTTGACCTACCAAAATCAACATTGTTGCCTCACAGTTGCCTCATGTGTTGTGTTTTTACTGCTCAGTGTCATTCCCAATGATAAAGATAATGTTTTATACCCTGTGCAAAGACTGCAGCTCATGTTTGAGGTAATATTTTGCATATATGTATTTCAGTGCAGATATGTAATTAGTGCCATCCCTCCAACTTTAACTGCCAAGATCCACTTCAGACCAGAACTTCCGCCAGAGAGAACCCAATTAATCCAGCGCCTTCCAATGGGGTCTGTCATTAAGTGCATGATGTATTATAGGGAAGCCTTCTGGAAGAAAAAGGGTAGGCTGCTCTTATTCACATTTAAACTGTTTTCAAATTGGTAGAGAAAGGTTGAGAAATATGTTAATTTCTTCATAGCCCTTGGCAACACAAAATGACCCCAACAGCGCATATTGGAAGTGGGAGGGGAAGAAGGGCCCACTGAGAACACCACTTGTGATGCCACTGTTGCTCTGGTTCCTAGCATTGTCCTGCCACAACTTTTCATGAGCAGAGTGAGTTAAGGGGCTCTGTGTAAAGAGCTGTGCTTTGAAGACAGATATTCTTGGGCTTTACTTGCTTACTGGTATCAACCTGTAAGCATAAAATGGTAACAGTAATACCTAGGGTGTCTTGAGGATTTAATGAGGACGGTCTGGGAGTTAGGTTTCCCTGATATGGTGGCTATTGTTGATAAGCTTTCTTCTCATACTCACAGGATTCCTTCTTACAATTTCTTGGGTTGATATAGGTGATTTCTTCCAACATATCCCCTTTTCTTTTCCATGCATTCCAGCATCCAGGGCCATCTTACCATTTTTGTCATGTATTAGTCATAACTCTTTTATGTAAAGGTGATAGAAATGGGTCCTTGTGGAGAGGAAATAGACATCCCTGTATAGTCAGTGTGAGTATTAAAAAGAAATGGCCTCTAGAGTTGAGACAAATATCAATTGTGTAATATTTGCATTCTCTTAGCAAAATAGTTTATGTGTTTTATATGTGTGCTTCTCTAATGAGGCTAGTCTCAATTGCCTGTTGGTTTTCTCCTGGTTAAGATTACTGTGGCTGTATGATCATTGAGGATGAAGATGCCCCAATTTCAATAACCCTGGATGACACCAAACCAGATGGATCAGTGCCCGCCATCATGGGGTAAGTTAGAGCTGCATGTTCTGCATTTTCCAGATTGTGTTGGTGTAGATGCTGGCAAAGTATAATGCTTTGGAATTGAGCTAAAGAAATTATAAATAACGCTACAAAACTATCTTGTTTCCATGTATTAAAATATTTTTAGTAATAGTTTGTGTGTAGCACAAAAACACTGGGAAACTACTAAAATTTTTAACTTGTGTCCATATATTCCTTTCTCCTATAAAACTTACATGTTGAGGATGGAGTGTAAAAAGCAGTTTAGATAGGTAGTATGGTAGTCAACCTTGCCTGGAGGCAGAATATTCAAAATCATTTGGAAAGAAACTGCTCTATCTCATAAAACCTTCTGAATGCAGGATTTCAGGGCTTTGTCTTTTTCTCCATTCCATACACCTGCTGCATAACAATGTTAGCTGTTACCCTGAAATATAAGATGGCTGACTAATTAGGAGGCATAGTTCAGTCAAGCCAAACCTCGGATGGATGGCATAGAACTTTTTCCAGTTGATTACTCCACAATTATCCTTCATCATGGTACTTCCCTTACCCTTAGAAGTGCATGGATGATGTAGGGCATGATTCAATGTCCCAAAGAGGGGAGCTGTGTGGAGGGATGAGAGGAGAGGAGAAGAGCTCTCTTCTTTTGTGTCACCTGCCTTTTGGAGACTAACAGTCCAGAGAAGGAAATAGGAGCTCTGCAAAGGAAATGTAAAGGTGGGTCACAACTCCCAGTTGCCTACCTTTGGCCCTTCACAAAAATCATAAACTCTATCTTACCACACTCTAAAAACAGAACACCGTTTCAGAAGCAATAAAGTGACTTTTAGAGACCAGTGTATATATTTATGGAGTACAGTAATGGTGTTTCAGTACACATCTGCATTGTGAAATGATCAAATCAGGCTAATTAGCATATTCATCACCTTAAATAGTTATCATTTCTTTGTGGTAAAAACATTTACAGTCCTCTCTTTTAACTATTTTGAAATATACAATACATTATTATTACCTATAGTCACTCTACTATGCAAACAGATCACCAGAACTTATTCCTCCAGCCCAACTGAAACTTTGTACCTATAGACCAGAAAATATGTCCACGCAGTTGTTGAAGACAACTAAGATATAAGCTCTATGCTTTCTGTTTGCCTGAGAGCAGGACAGAGATTTACAGACCAAAGGTTTCTCTAGCCTTCCCCCATCCCCTCCTGAAGACAAGATGCAAATTTTCCTTTATTGGAAACAACCTGTAACCAGCTCAGAGACAGAGCCAGATGAATCTTCAAGCACATTTTCCTGCATTAATGTCTTCCCAAATACTCACACCTTCCTATAGTCTTCCACCTTTGGATGCCTAAAACTACTCTCCTTTGGCTCTAAAATTTGCCATTCTTTGTTGGATATACTATATAAGCCAGACTCATAAACCACTACCTTGAGTTACTTTTCAGCAAAGTGTTTTCCACATGACCTGCACCACACATGATAACAAACTTGGTTATTATTGTCTTGCTAAACTGTCTGATGTTACATAAGTCTATCCCAGCTCTGAATCTACGAAGGTATACCTATTGACCAGCTTCTCTCTTATTTTATCAAGACAATTACCTCCATCCTGTACTTTGTTCTTGATAATGAAAACTTTGAAGATATGTGGCCTCCACAATGCTCTTTGCACTTGTCCACGAAAGTCTCAAAGACAGAGGTGATAATTGCCCAGCACTAAATCTAATAACTATCACCTTTTAGAAACTGGAAAGGACCTTGCACTTTAGAACTGTAAAATGTCCCAACACAAAGCCAGCATTTTTAATTTCCACAATAAACTACCAAATAAAATTGAAGCACATTTCTTCATAGTTGAACCAAAGAGGTTATTTCATTCATGACCTGAGATTTGACAGAAATATCCAATACTATCTTATTGTTAGTAAGGAACTTATAGTTCCTTTGGAAAGGAACGTAAAAACCATACAAGATGAGTTGATTAAAAAGGTTGTTAGATAAATCATCTAATCTTTCATCAGATATTGCTGATTTTCTTTTAAATACTGTGTAAGTCTAAACTTAGTGATTCTTGCATAAGCCTAAAATGTAACTGAAATCATTAATAATGAGTGTTATTAAAGTGTTAAATAAAATTATGACTATATCCCATAAAGTTCAATAGTTCAAATTTCTTAAATAGACCTCGACTTCCTCTGAAATAACTATTCTCTAGGTTAACACACTTTGTAATTTTGCTTTCTAGAATGATCTCAAATCACAACCCTAAAGGAATTGCCAGTACAATTGAGGAACAGTTTAATTTGGGGGTGAAGAAAGGAGGAAATACTGTTTCAGCCCTAATATACTTTTCTTTTTGGTGTAGAACAGCAACAAAAAAAATACAATCTAAAAGCGTTTCTTTCTTTTCCGAGCTTGGAATGGAATCTAGGGCTTCATGCATGTGAGGCAAGCGCTTTTTTCCCCTGAGCTACATCCCCAGCTTCATAAAAACTTTTTTAAATGGAGAATTAACTACATTGTCCTTAGAGCATTTGGACTTTTTATTCCTGTGCTAAGCACAAGCACTACCACTGGGCTATACATCCCTAGCACTCATTTGGATTTTTGAAAGCTTTCTAATAATAGTTAAGAATTTTATGTCACAATTCAATTACTTAAAATATACATTCAGTTAGTAGTATTAATATAATAAGTAGAATCTATTTGATTTAAAGGAAACAGAATATAACCGAGTTTTACTGAATTAATTTTTTTGAGGACTGTGGTTAAGCCAGTTTCCCAGGAAGCTGACTCACAGATGGAGATTTAGTCACAGCAGGTTTATTTGGAAGTGGTCTGTGCATTATTGCCTGTAGGGGAGGGGAATGAATCAAGATCATGCTGAGGGAGAGTTGGGATTTAATGTTGTTCACTAAAGGCCTCAGCCACCCCCTAGAAAGCTCTGGAGCTAGGCTAGCCTTTCAGAGCTGTCCTGAACTGAGCTGAGGGGATTGGCCTTACCCCACCCCAGAGCTGATCATTTAGTGCCATTTGCCTGGCAGGAAAGGGTGGAACTTTTCCCCAGACATTTCTGCTGCTGCTGAGTATAATTGCTGGGGAGTTCACCTGTGAGTGAAGGGTACTGAATACTGGTCCTGAAGCGGGGGCTGGGGGGCCATCATAACATCCACTATGGACCCATATTAATATTTGGCCAGCTTTTATCAAATGTTTGGCAAAAGATAGCACTCATTGCCAGGATAATCATTTAATACATTAATTTACCCAACATTTGATTTCATACTGTATGCCTACTGCATTTAAGCTTTAGGAGTAAATTACTGTGTAGGAGGTGACCTGTTTAGGAGCTCATAGCCTAGCAGAGTTTTGGACATAGAGGGAGGTGGAAAACAATATAGCATTTAGTAGAGGGGGAGGGTTAGGTGGCAGTAAAAACACTTCAGAAAGAAGGAGCATCTCATAAGATAAATGACTATTACCTGATCATTCAAATCCCCCCTCTCTTTCCAGCTTCATACTTGCCCGGAAGGCTGATCGACTTGCTAAGCTCCATAAGGAAATAAGGTAAAGAATTTATATCTGGAAAATCTACAAAAAGTTAACTTTATACTGTTTATTACACTATAACAACAGTAGACTGGCATTAGTAAAAACACAGTACTTTACAAATATTCTGAACCCCAATAAATCATTCTTTCTGTATTTTGTTATGACCCCCATATCCCACCCTTTTGGCCATATGCATGTATTAATTTAATTTTACATATTTGTGTTTTTCGTACAGTGGTTGAGAGGTAGAGTTTTCCTGTAAGATGTTATGAAGAAAATCATAGAAAACAAACTGACCAAAGCTCTCCTGACTTTGGCATTACTAAAAAGTCCCACCTCTTAATACTATCACCTTGGGGATTAAGTTCTAACAAAAGAATTTTGGAGGAACATATACATTCAAACTACGGTAGCTAATTTTTAATAAAGTCAAGAATGACAGATAACACATACTTTTTTAATTACACCACACTAAGGTTGACATTTTCTTTTGGATTTCTTGCTTTCTTTCCTTATTAATAATAAATAAATACCAGCCTGAAGGTAGACATTTGGTTATGATTTCAAAACTTCTCAAAAGTTTTTGTAAGGCAGAAACAAATTTTCTTGACTAACCTGGAATTTAAATATCCACCTTATGTTGTGTGACGTCATCTCAGGGGTGACATTTGTTTGTGCCTTAAAACTTTCCATGGGTAAAGGGCATAGAAATAAGCAATATTTGTAATTCCGCCTCCTCCTTCTGACTTATTCCTCTATACCTATGAGATACAAGTTCTGAGGGTTTTATACATGGTGTGTATTTTGAATAGATTTATAAGCCTCCATTTTGTCCCACATTATCTAAGGAAATTGAGGTTATGTTTTAATATTTTCCAAAGTAATTGGCAACATAAATTATCTATTTTTAAATCTTTTTCTTTTGTTACTAGTAAGTTTGATCTCCCTCCACTACATACTGTATTTTTGACCATTTGTCTTGCTAGCTTTTAATGCTTATTTTAAAGAGTTGAATTAAACCTTTTGCCTTATTTTTTGACAAGTATTTTTCAGTTGCTTGTTAGCCTTTAACAAATATTTGGTCATTTTTGTGTTTTTAAACTATACAAAGATGAAAAAATTAAATATAAAAAGTGTTTCACTGGTTCAGTGTGAACCTATTCAAACAAATCCTGGCATAGAATCATTAATTTCTAAAATGGGCAACTTTAGCAAATCAGACCTTTAAAAAAAATTCACCAGGAGTGGTTGTGAGTTTAAAATGTATCTTCTTTCAAGAATAATTTAATTAAATGTGGCTAGTGATTTGTCAGACATAATATGTGCCATATTTTTTAGTCTTCATTTGTTTAAAGAATTATGATTGTAGCCAAAGGCCATGTTTGAGATAATGTCACACAACATATTGTGTGTACCCCCCAGATATCCTTTGGAGCACAGAATATCCTAGTCCACAGACCATTCTGTTCAAGTGACAGATTATGAGACTGAAATGACTATAACCCTCTTCTAGAATAGCACATCTTATGCTTAGAAGATTAAATGAGTTTTATAAGTTTGTAAATGTTTAAAACATAAAAATAGGATATACTGTTTTGTAAACTTATAAATGGAGTCAGTTCAGAATTCTGTAATTACAGAAAAGTGATGTACAATCAATTCCTGATATTAAATTTAATTTATTTCTTATTTTCCCTGTTTATCTCAGATATCATAGCAGGTAGTGAAAGAGGTGAAAATATTTTTTTTAAAAAGGAAGAAACATTTTATTGACTCTTTAAATCAAATAACCATATTAAGGCATAGAAAGTTAATCTAAATACAGAAACTCATTGATTTGTTTCTTTTGTATAGTTACAGAGAAAGCCTTTGAGTTTCATTTTTCTGTTGTAGATGTGGTTCGTTGTCAGGCACCCTAGAACCCACTGTATTTATTTTTACCCATAAGTTACTACTTAACAATCTTTTGGCTCTTTCTTATAGGAAGAGGAAAATCTGTGAGCTATATGCCAAAGTGTTGGGATCTCAAGAAGCTTTAGAAGTAAGAAACCCCGAGCTTTACTCCCTAGCAGACTCTTCTTTACTTCCTCCAAGTGATAAGCAAAGCAGATTCTGGTTTCCTGACATTCTTAAGAAGGGAATGGAAACAGATGACATTATCTGGAAGGATTAACTTTAGCAATCCTAAAAGACCATTAAAAACTGATGACAGGTGCATGAAATGTCAAGTACAGTTCCTTTGGGCTGGTTAAAGGTTCGCTGAATAACTGGCAGCCAATCGGAATCAGAGGCTGGAGCCGCAGGTAGTATGTCAAGGATGGATGAGTTTGGTTCCCAGCCCAGAACCTCTGCGCTCATGTCTGTGTTAACTGCCTGCAGGGAAGTAAAATCCTAACTATGTTATTATGTGGTGATGATGGCGCAGCAGCGTATACTGACAAAACAAGTTGAATATAGATTCTATGCCTAGGTCAAAGCCACACTAACTTATTTTTCCACATGGAGACTCAGTTCACAACTCATTTAGGAATTTCAGAGCTTTCAGTTCACCACTGAAGCAGTAAGGAGAAGGAAATTATTTCTGAAGAACTCACAAGAGGTGGGGGGTTTTGGGGGGAGTTATCTCTGAATTATTCACACAATAAACTTTCAGAATATAGTATTAGAGAAATAAGAGAAGATTCTCTTATATCCCCCAGGAAACATTTTTCATCTTAATCACCCCTTTTTAGCAAAACTCTCATCATGCACTTTTTCAGCTTAAGAAAGGGATTGTGACAGAAGCTTTTTTTAGGCATTATGCTTCTGCTTCCTCCCTCACAGCCTTTTCTCAGCAACAGTGGGTAGTGGGGCAGGAAAGGCTATTGTTTTAGAGACTCCAGAGATTAGAGAAAATCTTTCTACAAGCTGATTGTTGCTGAGATTTCCTGAAGACATAGCCCTATATTCTTGAGCATGTGAATGAAGATGTCTTCTCTCCCTGATGTTGGGATACTTCATGTGTCCCCTAGTCAAAAGGCTGAAAATAATCAAAGTATCCCTGATTTGCTACTTGGTACCTTACAGAAGATCATTACTTGGTACTATCATGTTTCCCCTTCAATGAGTTAGATAAAGTTTTCTTTTTAATATAAATATTTGAGCCTTTGTTGTTGGTTGGTAGCATTTCGGTTTTGTTTTCTCTTTGGAATCTTCTCCCCACAAACTGTAGCCGGTGCATTATGAAGAGAAGAACTGGTGTGAGGAGCAGTACTCTGGGGGCTGCTACACAGCCTACTTCCCCCCCGGCATCATGACCCAGTATGGAAGGTATTGTCCCCCTATTAATGCAAGACCTAGACCACATCTAAGAGAAACTGTTCAATGAGAATTCCAGAAGCAGCATTCCTATTTGTAACGTTCCAGACAGTTTGTACCTTTCCAGGTGTCCCTAGAAAAACAAAGATATCAACACCTAGAATAATAGCCAAGCACTGGCAAGGACTTCAGATGTCAGGAGTACTTGTGAGATGAAGCAAACTGTGCTGTCTTGCAAGGGCCTTTCTTGAGCTTAGCTTGACATTTAGTCTCACAGGATCACCCTAGCTCCTTGGTACCAGTCACACAGGGCAGTGGATGTGTTTTATGTGTCTTTCTGTCCAGCAGAAAGGCATGAGATAGTCTTCTTGTGGGGGTGGTTCTTGCTGTATGCGGCTAAGGGGTGAGGAGATGAGATACAAATAGGGCCAGGGGTTCACCTTGACTTAGAAGCTCCTTGCTCCATAGAAACCATCATCTCTGTGCCTCATAGGCATAGTGTCCAGAATCACTTGCTCAGTTATAAGAAACATTACACTCAAGGAAGCCCAAAGTGACCACTTCCTACCAGGTTTTTGCAATTCCTTCACAGTCCTTCTGGCCTGGATGTAGTTTATCTGTGTAAGTAGGAGAGGAGACATTTGTAGCATAGGCAGTGTGTGGCCCAGTCCCATAGGTGGTATTACACCTGCATCCTGGTTTCCAGAAGAACAAAGCTAGAATATTAACATAAGGTCCACTGAGAAAGAAGCACTTGTCAACCTTTCCTTTTGGGAGCTTTTTGTCTTTTTCTGTTTTAGGGAATACTGGGGATGGAACTTAGAACCTCACATATTTTAGGCAAGTGCTATACCATTGAGCTACAGTCCCAACTGTGTCTTTTTTCTTAACTCAATCAAACCAGTTTTGTTAGTAATAATGGGATTAGTTCTGGAATGATGATAGAAATCTAAAAGATAGGATAAGGATCAGGAATCGATAAAATTCAGGGCTCCTGATTGAAAACTGAGTGCCAGTGGGTAGAGTGAAGGCCTCTGGGATGGGATTGGGGTGTGCAGTAGGAGAATTCATAAAAGTGATTACAAGCTTGGCAGGAGTCAATTCTGAGAAGGTTGGAGAGGACAGTTGGCTATTTGGTCCAGCTCTGCCTTGATTCTCTTTGGTAGGACCTCTTTGTAAGAAGAGGCCCATTTCCTTGCCCTCAGCCAGTCCCCAAAAATGTTGAGAGAAACTATACAGAGGATGTCATTTAATGAGACACACCATATAATCCCTTGGGTGTTTCCTCTGCCAGAAATGACAGTCAATCTCTGACTTCCCACTTGCCATAACAGCCCCTACTAGAAGTGCCTGCATGGCTGTGTTCTGTGGTTGTGTGTGTGATCTCAAAAAGAATGGAGCCTTCAGAAAGACAGTGTAGGTAATAAAATGGACTGAAATCGGGAAGCACACAGCCAAGAGATCCAATTGTGGATTGGATGCATGTTTTCACATTCTGATTCTGGCTGGCTTGGAAAAGGTCAACATCACATTGAGTGACTGATGATCTGACAGCCTCAATCTCCCCGGCTTAAATGTTCAGATCCTTGTGTACAGTACCAGGAAGCAAGAGATAAGCTAGCCTTTTATCTTGGGCTGTGTAAAATGGGCATTTTGTGAATAATTTGAGTTTCCCTGTATTCTGCAGAGTAAATAAAGGTAGTGATTGGCTCATTTCCCCTCAGCACCTTCCCATATAATCTGTGTAACTTTTTTGTTCCCTTGAAGGGTGATTCGCCAGCCCGTGGGTAAGATTTACTTTGCTGGCACAGAGACTGCCACACAGTGGAGCGGTTACATGGAGGGAGCAGTCGAGGCTGGAGAACGGGCAGCTAGAGAGGTGAGCCAAGGCACTCTCACTCCTGAGTCATGGCAGCATTTTTGGTGTCTGGTTTTTTTTTAATGGCATTATAACATGTTTATGAGGCTGAATGTTTGGGATTTTTTCACTGACACATCATAATTGTACATATTTTTGGAATATGGTGTGATATATCAATACATGCATACAGTGTACAGTGATCAAATCAGGGTAAACATTTCCTTCACAGCAAGCATTTATCATTTATTTGGAACATTTAAGATCTGCTCTTATAGCTATCTTGAAATATGCAATGATTATTGTTAACTGTAGCCACCCTACTGTACTATAGTACACTAGAACTTATTCCTTCTTGAACTGTATTTTGGTACCCATTATCCATCTTCTCACTATCCTTACTCCCTCCTACCCTTTTTGGCCTCTGTTACACTCTCTACTTCTATGAGATTAACCTTAGCAGCTTTTTCATGTGAATAAGAACATTCATTATGTATCTTTCTGTGGCTAGTTTATTTTAGTTAATATCCTCTAAGTTTATCTATGCTGTCATATATGACAAGATTTCATTCTTCTTTATGGCTAATACATTTCTTTAGCCATTCATTCTTTATCTCTTGACATTGAATCTGTATATCTATTTCTCTGCCCCTCACTCATGGGGCTCTTCTATGAACATAGTACTTTGAATCTGTTAAAACTATACAGCCTTATTTCACAATACCATGGTCACTTTCTTTCAGGTTTTGAATGTTCTTGGGAAGGTGGCCAAGAAGGATATATGGGTACAAGAACCTGAGTGTAAGGTATGTCTGACTGCTCCATCTCCGTAGACTAGTAACAGGACATAAAATTCACATCTCCCTTCTTTTAGCCACTGATTTCATTATAGACGCACCTATTGAGGGGATATCCATGAACAATAGTACAGACTGGTTTTGTTTCTCCTTGTCGGAGCAAGAGTTTTCTGCTAATAAACATGTTCATTCATCTAGGATGTTCTATCGGTTGAGATCACCCATACCTTCTTGGAGAGGAACCTGCCTTCTGTGCCTGGCCTTCTGAAGATCATTGGGATTTCAACCTCTCTAACTGCCTTCTGGTTTGTGTTACATAAGTACAAGCTACTGCCACAGTCCTGAAGTTTCTGGCTTCCATCTTACTCGTTCTCAGCACCACCAATCACCATCAAAGGGAAAATGTAATTGAATTAAAGGCTGTGTTATTGGGCCATTTAAGTGCACTTGATTTAAACCCTCCTTAGTTTATTCTCAGTCTGTGTTAAAGTAAAAACAACTCAAAGAATTACCTAATTAATATCCGTAAGATCAAGTTCTATATTGTCTATGTAGGCTAATTCTTGTTAACTTTGTAGACTAAAACCTTGTGATTGCTCTGTTGATTTCAAGAAATGTTCAAGAGAAGCAACTTTCTTTCTCTTACCTTTAATGTAAAATATCTGATGATTTCAGAAACAAATTATTTGGTTTTCTCTCTGTAGAAGTGGAGTAAATTAAGACCTAGCCTGTGGCATCTTTAGGGACTGATGAAGTGTTGGTATAGAGCTCAGAGGCTTACAGCTTTCTAGAGTGACCAACTACCACTATGGACCAGGAAATTGTAAATGAAAACAGTGTAGGGACAGGGACCTGTACGCCCTCAGACCAGGATGGAGACATCTTGTGGGCTGCTGCCTCAGGAATCTCCTGACAACTTATAATTTCTGTGAATTTTCTAGACATCTAATCTCAGCACTATCTTATTTGTATGTTTTCCTCTCTTAGAGAGAAGAATGTTTACCAAGCTATAATGCTTAAATTGATTTTCTGTGACTTTCGTGCAGCTCCCTAGATGAGCAGAGTAAAATAGTGACAGGGCTGCTCCCTAGGAAGTCTCCTTGACTATCTCCAAGTAGATTAATGGCAATGGGTGTCTTCCTCCTTTTGGAATGTGGCTAGGCATCAGTCCATCCTTGTCAGTGAAGACTTTCTATGCTGATTTCAGGAAAACATTATTTTTTTCCACTTAGTCCCCAGCTATCTGAAGGCCTCTTAGGGGCATATATTGTTTTTTCTTATGTTCATAGAAGTAGATAGATCTCTTAACTTATATGACTTCAACATAGTTAAATGTTAGTGTGCCAGTTTATCTAAAGTACTGAAATATACATGAAAAATCCCCGATTAATACTTATTGAGACTGTCAAATGTAGAAAGGAAATTAAAGCTATATAACTTCACTTGCTTTAGTTTAGTTTTATAACATAAATGAAATTGAGTAATTTTATAATATGAAGACTAAGTTCTTTCTCTTAGGAATAAAGTGGGCCCAGAACAGTGCCCACCTCTTCTTTTTCACATTTGAAAGACTCAGGTTTTTAAAAGCCCCTTCCAAAGATTTCAAACATAAAACATTTCCTGTTAAAAATTTTTTTATTTAAGGAGAGTTAAATATTGCTAGAGGAAACCAGCCAACCCAAATCTATTAGAACACTAATTTTATCCTAAATGCAAACTTAAGTCTCTGGACACTGATGTGAAGACTTAAGGTTTTCCAATGTTTGCTTAATCCTAAGAGCAAAGAGCTGGATTTTTCTGCCACTTTTTATCTTGAAGTTCAAAGGCATTTTAGCTAACTTAAATTTTGAATATGTTCCAGTATATGTGGAATTGCTGTGTCATATCAAACTGCTGTGAGAAATCCAATCCCTAATCTCTTGCAGTTGTTTCTGTTCACTTACTGATTAACTCAGTCTTGACATGCCTTGAGAAACATCAGTTTAAACTTCTGAACCAACAACAGTTTTAACAGTAATCACATTGTTTTCATATTGAAGTCTTGGATTTTGGAGACCTCCTGAGGGTGCAGTTTCCCCTCTTCTCCAAGTTTTTAGAAAACCAATGAATTCATCCTAATTAGATCCCTCTTAAGCAAGATTTGGTATCAAAATGAATGCCAGTCCAGATGTACCTAGACATGAAATTAGAGCTCAGAACACCCACCATGTGTGAGCTTAACCCCCACAAAGATACCATAGGTCTTTTCTCTGAACCAGAGAAACAAAAGTCATCTTCAGAGGCTTATAGACTCTGGCTCTATTGAGGCATCTCCTTCACAGATCTGAAGTCTATGGCCCCATTCCACAGTTAGGTTGAGAATTAGATTTTTAAAACCCACCTATTTGTCACAATTAACTGCTAAGAAAGGTCTCATATTCCACTGAAGAAAAAACTTGAACAGTTGTGAAGTTTGTATCATTTGATTGTGAGCATAGTGCCTACTGTTCCATATCTGAAATTTGCCCCCGTGCTACATGTGGGAGTATGCATGTTTGTGTGATTTGCCATTGAAATAAAGATGTTGCCTTTGTGATACTGTTTTGTTTGTTAATAAAGTGCACTACTTCCCCTGATTCAGCCTCAGATCTTGTTTGGCTTATAGGTCTTTTTTTTTTTTTTTTTGTACCGGGGATCGAACTCGGGACTTTGCGCTTGTGAGGCAGGCGCCAGAACCACTGAGCTAAATCCCCAGCCCTGGCTTATAGGTCTATTTAGAAGGTTCAGTGGCTTCTTATAGCAGGAGGTTACACTGTGCCATTATCCTCTAGAGTATAGGCTTTAAAAACTACTTGGTATTGAGATTGCAAATTCTCAACACTGGGTTTGACTCTCGTGTTATTGAGGTTGCCTGGGAATGGAGTAAATCCTGGAATACTGTATTCAGCCTGAATGGGCCATGGGTGTGGATTCTGAGCCAAGGCTTCTCACCTAATTAGCTTATACCTTGAGCACATCACTTTGGTTCTCTGCCTCAGTCTCCTCGCCCTAAGGATTTTTCTCATGAGAGCAATATGTAATTTATACATTTTGTTGCTAATACTGTTTCTATTTTTGCCAGTTGGTATGGTAAGATATTTAGCCTTTCTGTGTCTTTGTTCACTCCTTGTCTTAAATTGGGTTCTCTGGAAACAGGTTTTGAGATGCAGAGCTAAGGCAGAAAGTTTATTAGAGACAGAGCTCAGGAAATACACATAAGGTGGTAAGGAAGGCAGAATTGGGCAGGAGGAGAGTGTCTATAATGCAGCAGCAATTGAGGCCTTGGGAAATCCTACCAGGGAGCAGGGAAAGCCCTTCAGCATTGTCCCCATTGAGGAAAGGAGGTCTTGCCTCTGTGTCCCTTTATCAGCCACCCTCTGGGAGAGGGTACTACTGTTGTTGAGGCAAGACCAGAGACAGTTCCTAGTGAGGAAGTAGAGCTGGGAGCTGAGATCAACTTGAATTCCAGCAGCTAGTATGTCCCAGGGTACAGAACCGCAGTATCTGCACCTTTAGTCCCCCAGAAAGTAGAAAATTGCCTTGTCACATGTAAGACATTGTGGACTTCAGCTCTTGTTTTATAGATGGAATGGAGCTATCTCTGAATTTATCCCCATTAGATACAGGGACATTTACAAGGTTGTATTTCTGTACCATACATGGAAAAAATTACCAGGATTCTAAGGAACCCTGGAAATGATTCAATTTCTATCTCATTAAAGGAGTACTATCTACATATTACTAACAAAGATTAAAGGGAAAATATGTCCAAACTCCATGGTCCTTAGAAGGCATATAGCTAAAAATGAATAGCAGCAGGCATGAAACTTGGAGTAGTGGGGAGTGAGGCTGGTGTAGGAAGTAACGTGCCCCTCTAAAGAGCACATATATTCCAATTCCTTTAAATGATTGCTGACCAATCAAAACATCTGGACATTTAGTTTAAGTGTCCAAATTGTTCTCAAGTCCCTAATAAATACAAAGTATCAAGTCCTTTGATAAATACAAATCACTTGAATGATAGATTCTTTTTAGATGCTTTTGATTTTCTTAAGCAACAACATTGGCAACCATTTTGTAAAACTACCTGGAGTGGGTAAGAGAGGCCTTGGTTGGAGGGGCAGAGAGGAAAAAGAAAGACACAAAAAAGCCCTTGTACATTGGCCCTCAAGAAATAACCCCCTCCCCCAGATCATATCTCCTTCTATGTCCACACATGATTGATGAGAATGATGCCAAACTTTATTGGAAAAAGCTCATCTTCGCAATGAGATAGAAATTGCCACTCTTCTGTCAACGTTTCGTCTGTGCTGGCTATGATATAATTCCAATAAACACGACATCAACTTTGAATGGGATAACTTTAAAACCATACTGTTTGCTATGTAGCCATAAAAATCAAGACATGTCCCTTAGCCAAAAGAAGTTACTGAGACGTTGAAGAAGATGAAAACAAAGGAAGGTAAGAGATAATACCAACAGTTCTCCTTCCTCTATCAGCACTCAGGGTTTTCCCTTCTTTGCCCAATGCCATTCTCTCCAGAGTTCAAAAGCAAAGGCAGGTCTAAAAGTGCCAGCTGGTGTGAGCTAGTTGTTTTAAACTAGCCAGATGTCTGAAAGTAGCTTTGGATCCCTCATGTAAAAACATTGGCTTTAAGGAATTTACTGTTCCTTCAAGATGTCCCATGAAACTTCCTAGTTAGACCTCCCTTAATGCACACATAATCCATAGATTATTACTTATTTACACTCCTTCACAGTCACACCTCAATGGAAATAAAGTGTTCCTATTTAGTGAGTGTCAGATATTTTCCGTGAACTGCTGGATTTATGGATAAAATTGGATGGACTGGAGTGGCATGGGTTTATGCTGGGGGAGAACAGAGTGGGGACAAGGAAAGAAGAGAATGGAAGAAGTGCTTAAATGTCCCCAGAGCAGCACACTAATGAGAATCTTGATGGGTTGATGCTACCAAAGTGAACACATGAACCTTGTGTCATTTACTATTCAGATGCTCTAGAGTCTGTAGTAAAAGTGAGATAACACAGGTAAGGGCTTAGCTTACCAAGCACTCAGTGTCAGCCAAACAGACAGAAAGCACTTTTTAAATGTTACTAGAAGTTACCACCTTGAATTTCTTACAATCATTCAACACAAACTTATTGAGTAACTACTATGTGCTAGGTAGGCACCATGCTGTGATTCAGCACAGTCAATTGTAGACACCAAGCAGTATATTCAGTGGGGTTCTGGTCAGTCCTGCTACACAAAAGCATAGTATGCTGTGAACATAGGCAAAGGAAATGAGATTTAAAGAGGGGTTACTCGGGTGTGACCTCAAATCTCCATAAGCATCTCCGTTTGCAGCAAATCAGAAAGGGTTCTATATAGGACAGAGAAAGTAAAAAAATAGATGGCATGGCTAACTGGTAAGGTGGACCACAACAAGCATCACCAATCAGTACTGAATGTTAAGTCTCCTTTGCCCTTTTGACCACAATTCATTCCATCAGTGTTTTATTGTCTCCTTTGTCTGCTCTGTCCTTCTTTGTACTTGGAGATCAACTAAGATTCAAGATCTTCCAGGCCCCCATCTTAGGGGGCTGCCTACATTTGTTTTAAAAGAGCACCATCTTCTGGCCAAATGCTGCTGTTTCCTTCCAATAGAACCAGGATTCAAAATAAGTCTCCTTGGAGAAACCAAGAGATGACACCTTCACCCTGAATTTCCTCCTGAATTTGCCTGTGATCACTTACTTTCTTGTCAGTTGTGACATGGGTCAAAAACGTTCATACTTAATATTTGCAACCTTTCCTCTGCCCTATTCTCCCAGGAAGATTGTTGTTAGAGCTGCTGGGCTCCTCACCCTCCATTGTGTCCATCTGGGCAAAGAGGAAAACTGACAGGAGCTCAGAGAGATGGAATTGCTTTCACCTTAGAAGGGCCAGGGAAGTAATTTGAGGAAATCAGGAGAAGGGAAAATTTCTTCTCTCCAGCAGCCTTGACCATGTAGAGAGACAGGAAGTAAGAAGGGAAGCCCAACTTCTTAAATTTGACCAACAACATGGTATACTGGAGATCTACATGACTCTTCAAGCTTTGTGAGCCAAAATTTTGTTTCTTTTTGACACTGTATTTCTTTTAGACACATTTGTTTCTCTTAGACCACCTTAAGAGGTTCCCAAAATACCCTGGATTATTGGGGGCTATAGAACTTTAAAAAAAACCATACAGCTGGTTGTGCTTGGTATCTTGAGCAGTGGCTGAGTCCCATGGGTTCCATTTATGAGATCTTTGTGGAATTAAAAAGAATCTTAGCAATTCTTCCCTTGGCGAAATCAACATCCTCATTGGTAAACTGTGTATTCCAGTCTAGGCATATACTAAATGTGTCTGGGAGTCTCTGAGATTTACATTAAGGAAATGTGCAAAATGGTCCACTTGCCTGTATATAAATTCCTCTGGCTCCCATGGCCCATGGTATCACATCAACCAGCAAACATAGGAAAGGAAGATATAAGGCCTTTAGATGGGCCCAGTGAGGAGCTGGTATTAGATTGGCCTGGTATTTTGACTGCAGAGCAAACCAGGCTGTGTATTCTAAAATACACTGGGAGATGGAGCCGATTCTGACAGTTCTTAAGAACTCAAAATTCTCAGTATTACTCAATACACTATATGCTACTAGTAAAGTTAGTAAAGTCAGCCAAAAGGAGTGGATGAGGGCAAAGGAGATATTCTCACGAACAGCCTGACCATCTTTGCTATGGCAGCCATTTGAATTTTATGGGCTTTATTGGTGTTTTATTGCCCCTGTAACACATTACCCTACATTTAATGGCTTAAAACAACACAAGCTTATTATTTTATAGTTGTGAAGATCGAAAGTCCAAAATGAGTCTCAGAAGGCTGGTTCCTTCTGGAGCCCCAGGGGAGAATCTATTCCTTGCCTTTCTCAATGTCTAGCGGCTGCCAACATTCCTTAGGTTGTAGCTGCATCATTCCCATCCCTTGTTTGCATAGGTGCATCATCCACTCCTCACATGGATCCTCCTGCCTGCCTCTTATGGGGACCCTTACGATTACACTGAGCCCAGCAGGATAATTTCCCTGTTTTATAATCTTTAACTTAATCATATATGCAGTGTTCTTTTGCCATATAAGATAACATATTCATTGGATCCAGGATTATGATGTGAGCTTCTTCAATGAGGCATCATTCAGCCTACCACATGGGGCTTGATGTTAGTTAAAAATGAAAGCTAAACACCAGCACTGGCCTGTCCTTAAATTCCTGCTATTCCAGGCACCTGAACGTGGAGCAAGAAATCGAACTTTTAACAATTTAGAACTTTTAGGATCTGCCCTGCTCCACTAAGGCCTAGTTTCCCTTTCATTATATCACCCAAGCAGGCCAAGTGATTTTTTAAAAATGCAAATGCAAATCTTTTATAAAATGGAGTACTACTCAGCCATAAAGAGTGAGAAACTAGAGACATTTATAGCTAAATGTATGCACATTGAGGCCATCCTCTTAAGTGAGATAAAGAGGACACACATGTCCAAATACTGAATAGTTTCTCTAGTGTGAGAAA